TGATCTGGTAAACTCTTTCTGGCATGGCTTCCTTTAAATCCATTGGGTATCGGGTTATCTGGGATAATTTGCAGTGGATGTTTTGGGCAATCTCCTTCAAAAAAATCATGACAGTCTTCACAATCTGTAAATACATACAATGGAATACATACATGTAATACAATACAATACAATGTCAAAAAATCCAACACCTGTGACATTGTACTTTTTTTTGAGGAAAAGGTTATGGGTGGAGTTAAGTATTTTTGAATTTAAGAGAACCTCAGCATCACTGGTTATACCAGTTAAAGAGCAAAGGACACTACACTAGAGTTATTGTAGTAAACAGGAAATATTTACTTGCATAATAAAATATTAATGTGTCTATTCCGATCACTTTATATAATATTGTATTTCTGTGCTTTTTTAGATAAGAGATAAGGTTGTATTCAAACATCAGAAGGGCACAAGGTTTAATTTGAACTGAACTTTTCTACCTACAAAATGAGAAATCAATTACCAGGTAGATTGGCAAGGTCGACAGTAATACTAAGTTGACAGGTGATATTCCAGAAATAAGTTGGACAGAACACAGATGAAGCAACTGATCATAGCAATTACTGAACTACTTTTGAAATACCTATTCAACAAATTTTACTCAAAGCATGAATGAACAGAATCTCAGTTTAGCCAAGGACCAATAATATTATTGTGAGAACTTATTTTCCTTTAAATTAGATACTTCTTTATATTAGCGAAATTACAGATTAGCTAAATTAGCTAAAATAGCATGCTGGCTAAAAAGACATGTAACTCACTGCAGTCAAAATAAAGTTTACTCACAAATAAAATGGTCATCATCAGGAGCTTCTATTTCCATGTAACTTTTTCTTTCTGTTTGTCTTTTTGGATACCGAGTTGATACTGTATCCAAGGGAACTATATCAGAATTATTAATCAGAAAAATTAGATGAATGTCCATACTGTACATACTCATAGATTTTTTTGAAATTGTACTTTTGAAATAGACAATTACTGACTGCATACACACTAGAAATATTGTTAGACTACTGGTATGTACAGATGAATATAAGATTTTTCAATCATGGACATGTTTTATCACCACAAAAACACGCCAATTCACCTTTGTTTTTTCTTTTGTTGCTTTCTGCATCTATTTTCTTGAATACTTTCTTCCTGCCAACAGGTTTCTAAATACGTTAAATAAATATAAAATCAACACTAGTTGTACTAAGTATGAATAATAAACTTGAGTAAGACAAGTATGTTTTTAATATCAACTACAATATACTTAAAATGCCCAGTAATTTGTTACTTCTGATCACTTTTAATCATTAAAATGATAGTGCAGTAGGTCTAGAAGCGTGTTAAATAATCTGCCAAACAAATAAGTAGTGTATAAAATTTTGAGATTCGTGGGAAAATGAGTCAAATTAAAAAATAATTTTAAGTTACCGATGTGATTTTTAACTTTGTTCATAACTTTGAAGTTGTGTTTTCTATTATTTGTTCAAAATACTTAAAGTAACTAGGGGCAAAAACCAAATTTATTCAGAGTTATATAGTGTAGGAGAATAGTAACAATTACATTATCGTAGTAGCAAAATACATTTGATGATTTTAAATGAACCATCAAAGTTAATGCAGACTTATATCACCAAATTACCCCTCCCCCGTGTTAACCGAAGTTAATTTCAGTTTTCTGAATCATAACAAGAGTTGTCAGAGTTCTGAAAAATAATAAAATAACCACTCATGGCTGATGAAAAGTCATATAAACTGACACAAAATTATTGATATATTAGAAATATAAGGGCTCAGTGCAATACACCGATTTTCAAAAAAGGCCACAAAAATGTATAGCGTGATCGTAACATATACTTACTTGTTTTTTATCACATTTTTCTATCGTTTTCACTGGTATTTTATATGGAGATGTAAAAGAAACTGAAAATAAGAAAAAATACAACTATTATTGGCTTCAGATAATAATATAAATATGGGATTAAGGGAAGGAACTTAAAAACGACCCCAAATAAATTGTGTAGTAATAAATTGCACTTAAAAAGCAGGTAGGTTAGATCATAGACCTTAGAAAAGAAGTCTATGGTTAGATAGGATTTTATTTTTTGGGCCCAAATATAATTTAATCCAAATGTTTTTATTTGAAATTAGTCTCATTCAAAATCTGGACATGACAACAAGATGCCTCCTTCATAATTAAGACTTTCATCGCATGATCTAATGCATTATTCAGCAAACAAATCAGCAACATTGAATTTCAAAGAAGAATGACTCATCCATACTATGATACACTTTATTCTCAAACACATTCAACACTGCCACCACTATTCTACAACTTATAATTGTCTGAATTTTCATCTCCCATTCCTATTGCCTTTTTGAATGTGTCTGAACTCCCTTCTTTGACAACAGTGGGCTCCGAAATTTTGCCCCTGGTGACTGCCATTTTAGTTTATTTTACAATGTACATGACCATGTTGACTTGTTTATATATACCTTGTTTTGTCTTTCTGTTGTCAAATCCAGGCACCCATTCTTCATCTTCACTGTCACTCTCAACTTTTATTTTACGCTTTCTACCTCTAGGACCGTTCATAAATTCGGGTTTCACAGCAGATAATCCTATGGTTCAAGTATGATGATGTTAAATATGATCGTGCAATAACTTCTTGTAATTTAAAAATGCTATTAATTGTTTTACTTCAACTTCACTCAAGAATATTACACTTCAATGTTAAGCTATTATTATTAAACATTACTGGCATGAATTTTGCCTTTCAAAAATTTTTCCTAGATACGATTCCTATATGCTAAGGCAATTTCATAACATTTTGCCTTGTAAGTGGGCGACCTCTCAACTTTTAAATTTTTCATATGAATACAGTTTAAATAAAATATTCTTTCATCAAATAATCCAAGATGTGCATCATATGTAAATTGTAACAACGAATCTGTGATGTAATATCAAACATATTTTTACCATGTATTCACCTAAGTTTTCTAAATACCAAAATAGAAAAAGTATATAATTTAGCAACATACATTTCGATTCAGACCTTCTAATCAAAATTCTTACCAACTTGTAGCATCATTTCGTAATTCTCTTTGATATTTCTCAATCTCATTTTCTCATAATCGGAAGTTTCATTCCATTCTTTCTCTGTGAAATATGGTCGAATTATCCCATATTCGTCCTCAGATTTTCTCTTGGTTTTAGATGACATTGTGCTCTCGATCAAGTGCTACATAAAACAAAATATCAACATACTCCCAAATAATTTTATATAAAAAAATGTCACATCGTATACTTGCAACAAATTTCGCCGCCGATAATTACCTTAAAACTGGAACAAATAACTTTTTGAGCTAAAAATCTCCCGGAGAATTAATTCCACAGCTTTACTTTGTGAACTGGAGCACTGGAGCAGACTACTCAATTTTTGCGCCAAAGTGCGCCCTCCTGTGGTAGTTGAAACAGTAGCTATAGCAACGGGTCGTCATCATCGACGTCATTTGAATATATATTAGGGATGAACCATTAATTTTGATGATGTGGTCGTAGGTTAACTCTTCATATTTCAGCGCAACTAAATTATCTTTCTATCTTTATTATGTTTTTTTTTTTTATCTAGTACTGTAATGAATGCCATTTATTTTCACTATTTTGATGTTTTGAACATATTCACTGTGATTTAATTTCAAGAAGAAAAGAATGAGTTATATTGATATCTTACATGTTCACATATATTTAATTTAGAGGATTTTACTTAGCAGCAAAAATAAAAATTAATTAAAAATTAAAACCCAGTGAATAATTAATGCACTTACAGTACTAGTCTTCCCAGAAAGAAAAAAAATCCTATCTTACCGCTTCTGTGAACAGTCTACAAGTGTACATGGAAATGAAACCAGTATAGAGTAATCCGACGAGCGCTTCTCGAAAGTGCGCCCTCATACGCCGCCGCCATTACTGGGGGGCATATACCACTCAAAGTCATAGCGTCCCATAACAAATTACGTAAAAATAATAATATTTATTAATAACATGCGAACTCGTACTATTGCCACCACTACAAACTCACCTACAAACATTTAATACGTATTTCCAACGATTATTTCCATGGATATTTGGAAAGACGATGTTAGAGACTGGCTAACCGGTGGGGCCGAATGATCAACGGAAGGAGGTCAACCTATAGGACTGTACTCAGGGCTAGAGACTGGCCAAAGCTGGAAATTCAGACTTTGTGTAGAAATTGTTGTAAAACTGGATTTTGTTTCGTTTGTGTGCGTCCAAATCGTTTTTTTTTTTTTTTTTTTTTTTTTTTTTTTTGCACGTACAGAGTTAAGCTGTTTTCCAAAACGATCAATGGAGAAC